TTGAAAGTATTACATTTGTTCTCCTTTTTCCCCCATTGACCCCCTTCTAGCCCTCTCCTGTCCCTCACCCCAGACCTTCACCACCCTATTGTCTGTCCATGGGTTATACATATATGCATATAAATTCTTTGGTTGATCTCTTCCCACCCACCCCCACCTCCACCTTTTCTCTGATATTTCACAGTCTGTTCCAAGCTTCTATGTTTGGATCTATTTTGTTCATTAGTTTATTTTGTTCATTAGATTCCACATAGGAGTAAGATCATGTGATACTTGATTTGCTCTGACTAGTTTATTTCGCTTAGCCTAATACTCTCCAAATTCCTCCATGCACAGTTACTGTTTTTAAGAAAATCCACTTTTATTGATGTGAATATTGTACCAACCTTTCATTCCTAGAATAAATCCCACTTAGTCAATGGCATATGATCTTTTTAATACACTTCTGGATCAAATTTGCTAATATTTTGTTGAGGATTTTAGCATCTGTGTTCATTAGGGATATTGGCCTGTAGTTTTCTTTCTTTGTAGTGTCTCTGTCTGGTTTTGAAATTAGGATAATGCTGGCTTCATAAAAAGAGTTGCAAGTGTTCCTTCCTTTTGAATTTTTTGGAATAGTTTGAGAAGAATAGGTGTTAGTTCTTTGAATGTTTGGTAAAACTCCTGTGAAGCTGTCGGGAACAGGCTTTTGTTTGCTGGGAGACTTTATTATTTTTATTATTATTATTACTGATTTAATTTTTTAAAAATATATTTTATTGATTATGAGAGGGAGAGAAAGATAGAAACATCAATAATGAGAGAGAATCATTGATTGGCTGCCTCCTGCATGCCCCCTACTGAGGATCGAGCCCGCAACCCAGGCATGTGCCCTTGGCCAGAATTGAACCTGGGGACCCTTCAGTCCCCAGGCCAACATTCTATCCATTGAGCCAAACCAGCTAGGGCTTTATTGATTTAATTTTATCAGCCTATTTATGTTTTCTGATTCTTCCTGATTGAGTTTTGGAAGTTTGTATTTTCCTAGGAATTTGTCCATTTCATCCACATTGTCCAGGTTGTTGGCATAGTTGCTCATTTAATTTTCTTACAAATCCTTTTTACGTCTGTGGTGTCAGTTGTTACTTTACCGCTTTCGTTTCTGATTTTATTTATTTGGGTCCTCTCTCTTTGTTTCTTAATGAGTCTGGCTAATGGATTATCAATCTTGTTTATCTTAACAAAGAACCAGCTCTTGGTTTCATTGATTTTTTTTTTTTTGTATTTTTTTTTTAGCCTCTATCATTTATTTCTTCTCTATTATTTTCTTCCTTCTACTTACTCTGGGCTTTTTTTTGTTTTCCTCTAATTCTTTAAGTTATAGGGTTAAATAGTTTCTTAATAATTTGTCTTGTTTTTTGAGGTAGGCGTATAGTGCTATGAATTTCCCTCTTAGGACTGCTTTTGCTGTGTCCCATATATTTTGGGTTGTTGGGTATTCATTCTCATTTGTTTCCAGGAAGGTTTTTATTTCTTTCTTGATCTCATTGATAACCCATTCAATATTCAATAACATGCTTCCATGTGTTTGAATGTTTTTACTGTAGTTAATTTCTTAATTTCATTCCATTGTGATTTGAGAATATGCTTGATATGGTTTCAATCTTCTTGCATGTCCTAACATGTGGTCTATCTTTGAGAATGACTCATGTGTACTTGAAATGTATATTTTGCAGTTTTAGGGTGAAATGTTCTATAAATGTCAATTAAATCTATCTGATCCAGTGTGACCTTTATAGTCATTGTTGCCTTCTTAATTTTTGTCTGGAAGATCTATCCAGTGAAGTTAGTGAGGTATCGAAGTCCCCTACTATGCCTGCATTGCTGTCAATCTCTCCCTTAAAGTTCTCTAGAAGTTTTGTTTATATATTTAGGTACTCCTATGTGGGGTGCATATGTTTCCCAGGGTTATATCTTGTTGGATCACCCCCTTTAGTATTATATAGTGACCTTTAATGTCTCTTGTGATGGCCTTTATTTTGAAGTCTATTTTGTAAGATATGAATATTGCTAACCCAGCCTGTTTTTCATTTCCATTTGCATGGAAAAATTTTTCCATCTCTTCCCTCTCTTCCTTTGTGAGTTTTTTTTTTTTTTTTTTTCTAAAGTGGTTCTCTTGTAGACAGCATGTAATTTGTTCATGTTTTTGTATCCATTCACCTACCCCAGTGGTCAGCAAACTCATTAGTCAACAGAGCCAAATATCAACAGTACAATGATTGAAATTTCTTTTGAGAGCCAGATTTTTTAAACTTAAAACTTCTTCTAATGCCACTTCTTCAAAATAGACTCGCCCAGGCCATGGTATTTTGTGGAAGAGCCACACTCAAAGTGCCAAAGAGCCGCACATGGCTCGTGAACTGCAGTTTGCGAACCACGGACCTACCCTATGTCTTTTTATTGGAGCATTTACACTCAAGGTTATTATTGACAGGTACTTATTTATTGTCGTTTTTATTCTTTTTTAAAAAATATATTTTTACAGAGAGGAAGGAAGAGGGATAGAGTTAGAAACATCGATGAGAGAGAATCATCCATCAGCTGCCTCTTACACAACCCCCACTGGGGATGTGCTCACAACCAAGGTACATGCCCTTGACCGGAATCGAATCTGGGACCTTTCAGTCCACAGACCGACGCTCCATCCACTGAGCCAAACTGGTTTCAGCAAGCATGTCATTTTTATTATTTATGTCTGTTTCTCTGTTTCTTCTCATTACAGCAGTTTCTTTAGCATTTCTTACAGTACTGGGTTGGTGGTGATAAACTCAATTAGCCTTTTTATGTCTGGGAAGTTCTTTATTTCACCATCTATTTTGAATGATAGCCTTGTTAGATATTGTAACCTTGGTTTCAGATCCTTGCTTTTCATTACCTTGAATACTTCATGCCATTTTTCTGGCAGTTACTGATGAGAAATAGCTGACAGCCTTAATGGGAGCTCCTTTGTAACAAATTGCTTTTCTCTTGATGCCTTTACGATGATCTCTTTGTCTTTAATTTTTGGCATTTTAATTATGTGGCTGTTTGGCTTCTTATTTTGGGACTCTCTGGGCCTCCTGAACTTGTGTGACTTTTTCCCTCATTAGGTTAGATTTTTAAGGACAACTTGTTTTATACTGAAATGTGAAGCAAACCTGGATGACAGTAGGGAAGTTGGACTTGAAGGGCATGATTATAAAGAGTAGCTTCAGTGCCTAGGAAACAGTGAGAGCCATAAAAAAGCAGGAAAGATGTGTTCAGAGGAAATTTTGGAATTTAATTTGGAAAGATGTGTTCAGAGGATAGTAGTGTAAAGCCTGAGAATTTGTTGAAGTTATCAATGAAAATTCCAAACTCACTAAAGTTGATTTCAGGACTTAAGAAAAAAGGAAAAAGAAAAAGGTGAGCCGAAACCGGTTTGGCTCAGTGGATAGAGAGTCAGCCTGCGGACTAAAGGGTCCTGAGTTCAATTCCGGTCAAGGGCATGTACCTTGGTTGCGGGCACATCCCCAGTAGGGGGTGTGCAAGAGGCAGCTGATCGATGATTCTCTCTCATTGATGTTTCTAACTCTCTATCCCTCTCTCTTCCTTTCTGTAAAAAATCAATAAAATATATTTTTTTGTAAAAAAGAAAGAAAAAAGGTGAGCACCACAGATGCTAATAAAAGAGCAACTTTCCTTGTGTCCATTAGCTATGTACTATTATGTAAGATACATAAAAGAAGATTGGAGGAATGATATATGAAGAGAGTGGTACTTATGGAGAATTTATTAAAAATTGGTTGGAAGGTTAATCAATATCATTGTAGGTGCACTGCTAATATGTTAGAACTTTTGTTCTTGTTCAGCTTGCAGCTTTGATGTTGCTTGTAATGACAATGTTTCTTTTAAAAGAAATGATACAAATTATTATTGGTTTGTTGTACAGCTTCTAAAATTTACTAAATCTAAGTACTATAGTACTTTGACAAAATGTAAAAAATAAATAAAATAAAACACAACACCACACATGTTAAAAGATCCGTATGAAGTTCTTAACTGTTTTTGGATTACAGATGCCTTTAAGAATCTGATGAAAGCTCTGAGCTTTGTTTCCAAATTACTTTAAATGACCAAACATAATAATTTTATAATTTTGGAAAGTTCACAGGCCCACCAAAACCCAGAAAAATTGTGTTTAAGAATAGGAAAGAATTATATTACTAATCCTCTTGTGACTTAAAAACAGTAGTTGTTTCTGTATACTTAGATGTATTATAATACTGATTTTCCAATAATGCCCAAAATAGGACTTTCATAGCCAATAGTTCTGGGTTACTTGTGCTCTATAGCAGCGGTCGCCAACCAGAGGTCCTTGAGGTCCGAAAGGTTGGTGCCCACTGCTCTATAGTGACATACCTGTAATCATTGTTGGTAAGAACTTGAACATAAGATGATTATTAGTAGGTATATTTTGTTTAAGATGATAGTAACTGGAGGTGTTTTAATTATGTAATATTTAATGCTGCTCTGTTATACATCTTAGAGTCTTTTAATATTTACCGATAAGCAATCAATTTAAATCATTTGGATCTGTGTTTCATTCAGCTCACAATTTTCATTATAGAATATGATCTTCAAGTAGAGTATTTAATAAAGAACAATGTTTGATCATGGTATGGCTTTGGGGAGAAAGAAAGATCTGACTACCTTTCTCCTCTGCCTTCTGTTAACATGCCCCTCCTGGTGTGTGCTAGCTTTTTCTCCCTTTTTCTTAGGGTAAATGGGCATTGTTTGTTTCAGTAACGATTATAAATTGAAAAATATTTTATATAACTTAGGAGGTAGTAGAATATTCTGTGTTGCTTAAGATAGTTTGAAGTGGTTTTCACCTGCAAAACTGACTGCTTTTGGAATTTTATTTCCTTTACTGTTGTACCTTACAGTGATTATTATGTCTGCAGGAGTTCTCATGTTTTATGATTTCATTTTCATTGCAGGACCGTGTATATGTACAACAAAACAATGTGGAGAATGTCTACAACTTGGGATTAATTATTTTTCGGGATCAAGTTGTACGATATGGCTGTATTAGAGATCATCTACGACAAACATTATTGGATATGATCGCAAGAGAGCGGAAAGGAGAAGTTGTAGACCGGTATTAATCATCTTTTAACTCAATTAGGTTTTGGTTTTTAGCAGTTATACCCTGAGAACCAACTTATTGTCAAAATTTTATTAAAATGAAAGTTTGATTGTCTAGCACGTTATGAAAATTCTCAAAAACTTATATCACAGTTAACAAAGTTACATAGATGTTAACTTAAAAACACACTTTTATTTTCAGAAGAGACCATTTTAATCTTTAATTTGGTATACTTTTTTTTTTTAAAGCAATTCAGCCATTAATTTTCCCATTTGATTTTTCTTTTTTTTACATTTCACTGAAAATGTTTTATTGGCATTTTGGACAGAAAGGGGAATTTATTTGCCAGGAAGGGTGAGCCTGTCATACTTTCACTATAACCAGCACATGGTCTCCTCCTTGCTGCCTCTATGATGAGCCCTAATGCAACCTGAACTACATTTCTTGTCTGCGATGCTGAAACCTCACCTACCAAGCACATAGAATTCCAGGCTATAGATATCAATACTTTGGTCATTTATGATCCCCAGATCAATGTATTCCTGGATCCCCAAACCAGAGTTTCCAATATCTGAGAAGTTATTTTGTAATTCGTACTCTCTCACCTTTCTCTAAGAGTTCTGCCTTGTCCCAACAGAGTATGTAGTGGACGGCAATATTTTTTCCTTTGATTTTTCTTTTTTTTTTTTTTTTTTTTAACAGAGAGGAAGGGAGAGGGATAGAGTTGGGAACATTGATGAGAGAGAAATATCAATCAATACCTCCTGCACACCTCCTACTGAGGATGTGCCTGCCACCAAGGTACATGCCTGGAACCCTTGAGTCCGCAGGCTGATGCTCTAGCCACTGAGCCATACTGGTTAGGGCTGTATTTTTTCTTCTTTTGTTCTTTTTCTGGCTGGGTGATAACATTTTTTTTCCTTTTGTCTTTCTTTAGGGGCTTTTTGCTAGCCTTTCTTTTTAACATATTTAAAGAAAAATGTTGAATAAACCAGCTTTGAACTACTGTACCATTTTCGTATGATTACAGTGACATCAGCTTAAGTGGCTTGAAACATGCAAGACTGCTTTCTCTGCTTCTCTATTCAAATGCAGCTAGTAAATGAAGACTTTTAAAGTTTTTTGTTTGTTTTTTAATCTTTCCCCGAAGATATTTTTACATTGTTTTTTTTTAGGGAGAGTGGGGGAGAGAGGGAAAGAGAAACATTGATATGAAAGAAATACATCAATTGGTTGCCTCCTGCATGAGCCCTAACCAGGGCCCAGGCCAGGGAGAGGAGCCTGCAGCCCAGGTAAATGCCCTTGATCAGAATCGAACCCAGGACTCTTTGGTCCGCAGGACAATGCTCTATCCACTGAGCAAAATCAGCTAGGGCTGTAAAGTTCTTTATTTACATATTGGTGCCTGGTCAGGATTGCCCAAAAGTCATTTGGTACAAAATTTACAAGTCAAGCAATGCAGCCTCCTTTCATCCTCCCTGCTTCCTGATATAATAGCTTTTTTATTCTCTCTGTGTTTTTAAATACACAAGGCTATTTAAATACACAAGGCTATGTGACATCCTAAACATATCTTTCAAATGTTTAAGTTATTGCATGAGAACAATGAGATAAATACCTGTGCAGTCAAGATACTGCCTTCCAATGAAGTTTACTTAAAAAACCTCATGTTACAAAGAAGCTGCTTCTGGGAGATTGGTCACTGATTTAAAAAATATTCTGAAACTCTCTAGCTATTTCTGTTGTATTTTTTTTATATGAGTCTTTGATGTAATTTGATTTTCAAGTGATTGTAACTTCTTTTGACAGAGGCGCAATAAGAAATGCGTGCCAGATGTTAATGATTTTAGGTCTTGAAGGACGATCAGTCTATGAAGAAGATTTTGAGGCTCCTTTTTTGGAAATGTCTGCAGAATTTTTTCAGGTAATCAGTGAAGATATATAAATAAGTGCTCTTTTAAGATGTGCTTAAAGTTATTAAATGTGGTTACTAATTTGAATATTTTTTTACCTTTTTTTACTGAGGCTCTTAGGTTGCAAATTATTTACCCACAAATTACTAGGCAGGGTATCATCAATGAAGTTTATAGGCTTTTGATTTTATAAGTAACTAGTAAAATAAATGTGGGAGTGTGCATGATCCCATAGTGCATATATATCTTCAAGACTGTTGATTGGAAAGCTATAGGTTAGTAAATACAATTGATATACATTTGCAACGTTATGTAATATACAACCCAAAAGGAACTAAATTGCTGAAAGCAAAGCTAAACCATTACTCACTTATAATGAAATGATAATAACAATAAATGAGGAACATGACAGATAGAAGACAGTATTTATAAGGTAATGATGATAGCCAGGAATTATAAAGATGATCTCACCAAGATTTTTGTTTGTTGTGTTAATGTCTGTTCTTAAAAATTTGATTATTTTCAAGGACTAAGAGTACTTTTTGTTACAATAGTAGCAAGTGTTATTTATCTATAGTTCACATCAACATGTCTTTTATTATGTAATTCTTAGATATATTCATTAATCCTACTTTCAAATAGGTTTAAATCATTTGGGTTGACACTTATAATTTAGTGGAACCTATATAAGGTTGGTGTTAGCAACCTTATATAAAAGGTTGTTATTTAAAAGCTCCATTTCTCCAACTTAAGTATATATACTCCTTTGAACCTGAGAGCCAGGGTGGCAGGACAACTTCAGTAATTAACACTGTGTCAGCAAAACTACATGATAAACATGATGATTCCTTCTAGGCATAACTTTCCATTAAAACAGATCAAAGAAGAATTTGCCACTCTCACTTTGAGTCAGATGCTTTATTCTGGCATGTGTTTACTTTTGCTGCTATTTGGAGTACATTGGCAGAATTTGAAAAACACTGCTCAAGGATAAAGTATTAATTCGGTTTTATGTAAATAATGCTTTAAAGTATATAATGCAGACTGTATGATTATATGTAATGAACTGTATAAAATGTTAATAATACTTATTATATATTAGTTTTGATTTTTGATAAACACTAAAAATATAGTTAAAAGCAGAAACACATTTTGCTTCTGTGTTTTTAAAGAATCATCCTTCCTATTTGCAGATGGAAAGCCAGAAATTTTTAGCAGAAAACAGTGCTTCAGTTTATATAAAGAAAGTAGAAGCTAGAATTAATGAAGAAATAGAACGGGTGATGCACTGCCTTGATAAATCAACCGAAGAGCCAATTGTAAAGGTGGTGGAGAGGGAACTTATTTCCAAGCACATGAAAACTATAGTAGAAATGGAGAATTCTGGGCTAGTACATATGTTGAAAAATGGAAAGACAGAAGGTAAGTCTTAGCAGTTGGAAAAATCCTTATAGTTCTACCAAGTTCTCAGTAATTTTTTTTTTTCTCTAAGATAATGAATGTCAGTTTTTAAGAAGTGGTTTGTATCACTAATTTAGCTGTTACTTTGGGATGATCTAATGGTAAAGCTTTGCATTTTTTACTGAGGATTTTAGATGTTTCTAGTGAAGTGACTTTTTTCTCGCTTTTGTCTTATGTCTCCTCACTGTGTTTTTCTTTACCCAGAAGATAAATGTATTACTGGTGAGGACAACAAGCTCCTCATCTATTCCTATACTTTGGTGTTATATGCTAGAGGGTTTGGACTCTATTCACGAATACTGTCCTTTAGTTTTTGTGATTCTTTTAAAATCTGAAGTTTCAATCTAAAAATTTTTGTAGACTTTCCTATGGGAGTTAGTTGTGATAAGGTTTCCTAAAATGCAAAAATAGGTGTCTTTCCTGTTAGTGTATTTAAATAAATTAGTTCATTGGTTTTGGGGATTCTGAAGTTATAGACTAAAAAAGGAAAAGGGATAATTGCATAAAAGTAAAAATAGAAATTTTGAGATAACTGTAGCATTTACTCATTTTGGCTATTTTTTAATTTTATTTTATTTTTTATTTTGAAAGCAGTATTTTGTGACAACTGTAACATTTCCTTGTGTGGGCTATTTACCTTTATTTTCTTGAACACAGTATTTTGTGACAAGTACCCAAGAGGAAATAAGGAAATAGCTATGTTGTCCTCTTAATTTCTGAAGTTTTGCTTTAAGCTCGTGACTTTATAAATAAATCACTTACATGATAATGAAAAAGAAACCTGGTACTTACTTTTCCATTCTCCTGCTTCTTAGATGAAGTTTTAGCCACTTTGTTCTTATAGATGAAATACATATTGCCTATTTGGGGAAATGACGTAGATAGGGAATGTAAAGAAGAATTTTTTATGTGAATAATTTTTTTAAAAGGAGGATATAAGAAAATGGAAAAGAAACATGATGGGAAGAGAGGTTGCCCCATGCTTCCTTTAATGGAATCCTTACTTTGTGTTTTGAATTGGTTATATTTGTAAACGTGTAATAAGTTTCTGAAAGTTGTATATAACTTTGTAGATTTTTATTAAAGCCAAAAAAGTTCCATTTAAAAAAACAACAAAAAACCTCTGGTAAACATTTTTGTAAAAGCAACAGAACAAAAATTATTTTACGTATGTTTTCTAAAATAAGCTACTGCATGTCTCGGGTCTCAGTCAGGTTAGCAAACTTTCTTGTATAGGAGCAGGCAGTACATATTTTAGGTGTGTTGGCCATACAGTAAACTACCATCTGTACTACATATTGAGAAAGTAGGCATACACAGTATTACAAAAGAATAAGCTTGACTATGTTTCTGTAAAACTTCATTTGATTTATTTTTCATATGCTGTATTTTTATCTCGTCTATGGACTACAGTTTGATGACTCCTGATGTAAATGGTCCCTAGCAGACTTGGACTTCAGGAAAAGCATTTTCACTATTTAAACAAAATTAGAATCTAAAAATTTTCTAATGTACTGTTTAGCCATCGAGTTAATTCTTTCTTACGTACCTTGAGAGGATGGGAGGGGGGAGATTAAATGGGCTGAAGATTAGGAGGTATGAAATGTTTGATGAAGAGATTATCATGCCCGAATTATAGTATCTCTATATCCTGGTACTTGAGTTAAAAGCATTAATTATGCCTGACACATGGCAAGTGCTTAATTAAGTACACGCATAAAGAAACACCACAATGGCTACTTACCATATATAAGCAACTATCTGTGATTCTAAGTTAAATTGTAAAAATCTGGTTTCAATTTTCCTGACCTCCCACTAGAAACCTAATTGTGCATTGTCTTAATTTTGCTAGGCTCTGCTCATGATCAATTTGTTCGATAATAGGTCAGAGTCACAGCTTCACCATTATGAAGCCAAATGTCTCATAAATCAAAAAGTGAAAAAACACTTTTCTCATAAGTGGAGGATGAAAAGGATTAACTGATTATCAGATGTAGATAGTGCTGTGAAGTTCAAATGGCATCTCATTTTGGTATTTAATTTTGAATGCCAAGTATTTTTTATTTTCTCTTTCACATCCTCCACTATACCATATATTTATATACAATGAAAGACAATGAAATGTATTAATTTACATACAATTAACTATAGACCATATTAAGTAAAACTGTGACAGCATAGGAACAAAACAGATAAGTTGGTTACCATTTCTGTTAGAGGTATTTGATATGCCAAATTACTGTAGTATATATCCATACTGTTGAAAATGTAATACCTATTTTCAACATGAGAAATTTGGTTGTATGCTAAAATGAGAAAAACTGTAAGCTTTGTTCTGTATAGATTACTTTAGATTTATATTATTGATGAAAACTTGTTTTTAAATAAAATTTGTTTTTGTAAGTCACTAAAACAAATTTTAGAAGCCCCTTTTATAAAATTTGCTTCTCAGTATTTTAAAAATACATACAACTTTAGTTTTAGGATCTTAATTTCTCTTGTAAATATAGACCAGCCTAGGTAAATTATTATGGCCTGTTTGCCAAATATAGCCCACCACCAATTTTATGGGGGGCGGAATTTTTTTAAAGAATTTTTTTAAAGAATGTTTCTCCTTGGCCGATTTTGCTCAGTCGATAGAGCGTTGATCTGCGGATTGAAAGTTTCTAAGTTCGATTCCGACCAAAGGCACTTGTCTGGGTTGTGGGCTTGATTCCCAGTAGGGGGTGCAGGAGGCAGCCGATCATTGATTCACATCATTGATGTTTCTATCTTTCCCTCTCCCTGTCCCTTCCTCTCTGAAATCAATAAAAATATATTTTTAAAAAGAATATGTTTTATTACACAGACATGATGTACATTTTAAACTTAAAAACTAAGGTTTTATTGAAACATAGTTATGCCCATTTATTGCCTATGGCTTCTTTCTTGCACAGTGGCAAAATTGAATAGCAACAGAAACCATATGTGGCTCACAAATCTAAAATATTTATTATTTGGCGCTTGACAGAAAAAAAAAATATCAGTCTCTAATCTCTACTGCTTGTTTTAGCTCCATTTTCAAAAGTTATTGATTATAAAACTTTTTTATATTGTTGTAAAGTTCTAATATGATAGTCTCCCTCTAAGTTCTTATTTCAAAGAAACATTAGACATTTGGAAAAGCAGAGTTTCAACTCTACATTTTAATCTGTGCACATGATGCCAAAAATGGATAGAGTCTATAGTTTTCTTTCTGAGATAAACCAATTTTTAAAATACAAATACTGGCTTTAAGACATCACCTGGGAAATACTATTAGAGATTGCTCTGAGGAAAATATTAAATAGGAATTTATGCTGTAAATTTCATGTAAACTTTACCATGATATGAAATGAAATAAATTCTAGTATATTTGTTTTCATGGTTGTTTGAACTTTTAAAATAGACATGCTTAAAAGTATTTATAAGACTTTAATAGGTTTTAAAAATGTTTTATTGACTACAAATTACGCCATAATGAAAGTTATCCTTATACAGTTTATAGTAATACTAGGTTCTAGATTAGAATTACTTAGGATAAGTTCTACAGAACCTAAAAATTGTAGTTCTCATTTTTGTGGCTTTGTTAATCAGGTTCGGGCATCTTCTCTTCCATGTAACCTAAAATTGCTGAGACATTGTATTGATGTTTTCAGAGAGTCTTATCTGAACCTGTATCATAAATTGCAATAATAACCATTAACTGGCCTGTTTATTCCTTTTTTCTATTTTACTTGGGGGAGTGGGTAGTAGTTTTTCATGTCAGCAAATGATTGCAATGGAGAAATAAGTTTTAAGTATTACAAATCAGCATGAACAGGAGATACACACTTTTTCTTCATCTTCAATAGAGCCGATTTGTGTTTGCTTTCTGATTACAGACCTTGCTTGCATGTACAAGTTATTTAGTCGTGTGCCAAATGGTTTGAAAACTATGTGTGAGTGTATGAGTTCCTATTTGAGAGAGCAGGGTAAAGCCCTTGTTTCTGAAGAAGGCGAAGGAAAGAATCCTGTTGACTATATCCAGGTAGGTAAATCAGAAGATTATCTTTTAAGTCTGTGATAAACTACTATTGACAAGTACTAAAAAGGTCACTTATTATGACATGTAGGGTGTATTTTTTACTTAATTGTCCCTGTGGTAAATTAGAATGTATAATTATCCTAAAGATTTTAGAGTTTTGCAAAGTATATATATATTAGGAAGCCAGACTCAACTACTTATTATTTATTCTGTCTGGTAAAGACCTTATTTAAATAGTCTTAATAATGAAAATTATTCCTTTCTACTTTTTTATATGCCTAAGTGCTCATATACTTTAGTGTATTACAAAAACAACAACCATGTGTTAAATATTTTTGTTTCAAAATGTTTTGCTTTTGAGCAATAGTAAGAGCAGAAGATTTTGTTCCAAATTTCCCTGTTTTATTATAAATAAAGGGTTCTCATGGTACATTTTTAAAACTAGTTTTCTTGGGCTTGCCCACTTAATAAAGACAGGATGAGGAGAAACAATTGAAGAGGTTCTTTGGTCCATTTTTTTTTTTAAATATATATTGATTTTGTACAGAGAGGAAGGGAGAGAGAGAGTCAGAAACATCGATGAGAGAGCGTCATCGATCAGCTGCCTCTTGCACACCCCCTAGTGGGGATATGCCCGCAACCAAGGTACATGCCCTTGACCGGAATCGAACCCCGGACTTTTCAGTTCCCAAGCCGACGCTCTATCCATTGAGCCAAACCGGCCTCGGCTCTTTGGTTCATCTTAAGTGCAGTAATACTTAAGTGAATGATAGAATATTTCCCTCATTACTGACACTTTAATACAGGTTTAGATACAGGCTTGAAAATAATATAGAATCTCTCTAAGTTTAGCACTGAATGCATACATTTATATTACCAGCAAAGTTAAAACATACATGTTTGCATGCATATTGTTTCTAGAGACATTATTATAATGAATCTTAACTTTCTTTTTTTATTTGGAAGGGCTTATTGGATCTGAAGAGTAGGTTTGATCGCTTCCTGCAGGAATCATTTAATAATGACCGACTCTTTAAACAAACTATTGCGGGTGACTTTGAGTATTTTCTCAACCTCAACTCCAGGTCCCCTGAATACCTCTCATTATTTATTGATGATAAATTAAAAAAGGGAGTCAAAGGGGTAAGTATAGTATATTTGAAAATTTTACTTATAGATATAAAATTATATATAAGCTTGGGAAATCAAATACAAAATTAGGGAATTTTTAAATATAAAAATAAGCATGTACTATACTTAAATGTAAAGCATTGTTTACATATTCGAAATGGCCAGAGGTACTTTGACATTTCACTTAATCTATAAAAACAAACAACTACACAGCTATAGTATAGGATATTGTTGCTCTCATCTGGTTCTTGGGGTTATGTATCAGATTTTTCTTGGATGCCAGGAATTTGAAGGCATAGACTAGAATAACAGAAAATAGTTTGAAAGCATATATTGAAGCTCAGTTTCAAGTTTTTATTATATACATGAGATCTTGGAAGCTTACTATAGCATAGAAAATTAAGAGTATTGTGATTACACATAAATTGCTCTTTTTTACTTCACCTTGTAATTTTTGAGACAATAGGGAAGAGCAACAAATAGCCACAGGTTTTACAGGCTCCTCTAGCATAAACAAAGAAAAATTCAAGACAAACTAAAAGACACATTTATTTATTCTTCCATAATTTTTAATATAAGCTTAATACAACCTGCCACAGTATCACCTATCCCTATTTAAAAGATAAGGGTGATGGGGTCTTATTATTCTTTAAATAAGCGGTCACCAACCAGTGGTCCATGGACCACTGGAAATCTGAGAGATCTGAAAGGTTAACGAGCGCAGCTTTAAATTATAGCAAATTATTATCCTTCCGTTTGCACAGTTTAGATTTTGGCTGATCTTATATGACAATATCTGTCATATGTAAGTTCCTGTCTACATATTATGGAAAGGCATTGTAAGATACTCTTTTTGCATTTACAACTTTATTTCATCTGTTCTTCATGATTGTTTAATCCAGCCATGTATCATTTCAGTACATTTCAGCCCCTCTAGGGCTAATATTTTGGACCTCGCGGACCATTAGTGGTCTGCAGACCACTGGTTGGCAACCGCTTCTCTATGAAATGGAACTGCATATCAATGCCTGATGGATACTGCACTAGAATAGGATGTCAGAGTTGTGGTGTGCTCCCTTATGAAGTAGGAGGCACCTTCTTTTAAGGAGATCCCTCCTGGGATAGCACAACAAAATATTTATGTTTGTTGTCACAGTATTGTTTTTAAACTGTTGAACTGTGGTGCTATTTTTGTACAACTAAAATTTTGAAGTTATTAAATACTCTTTTTAATTGATTTTGCAGCTAACAGAACAAGAAGTAGAAACAATATTGGATAAGGCAATGGTCCTATTTAGGTTTATGCAAGAAAAAGATGTATTTGAACGTTATTATAAACAACACTTGGCAAGGAGGCTTCTTACAAATAAAAGTGTTTCTGATGACTCTGAAAAAAATATGATATCTAAGTTAAAGGTAAGGTGTGTATAAGATGGAATGGAGTGTACCTAACTAATGTTTGTCACATGATTGAATAGCAACATTGGATTGGAAAAGATTTAACTGATTTAAAGTACTATTTTTACAAACTTATAAAGCTATACTTACGTTTATTCAAATTCTCAGATATTTGGAGTTTGCTGGAATTTCTCTTAGCATGGCAGGATACATTCATGGCAATCTGGGAAGGATTGGTTCAAGGGAAACAATATAGGCAATATTACTATATAGTTCTGTCACAAAAGTACAAAGGTATGGTCCACAGCCCACCTGTACATGTATCACATGAGGTGCTTGTGAACACGAGTTCTGGGCCCCTGCCTTCAGTGAGGTTGTTGATAGATTTAGAATCTGCATTTTAAACACTAAAGTTTGGTACCTATACTCTTAGAGAAATCATTGGAAAAATTTAGAAATGATGACAGTAACATGGAATCGTTTATTTATTTGTATGTTTTCTCATAGAAAAAAAACATCATTTATTTGTTGTTTTCTTACACAGACTGAGTGTGGATGTCAATTCACATCAAAACTGGAAGGAATGTTTAGGGATATGAGCATCTCAAATACAACTATGGATGAATTCAGGCAACATCTACAGGCAACTGGGGTAAATTGTTCTATTTCTGCTTATATATATTTTATGTAAAATCTTTTGTAGTGGACATTTTCATCCATATATCAAATGGACTGCTGTTGTCATGGTTTAAAATGTCCAATAGTATCTGTGAATGCTTTAAAAAATTATTTCCCCCAATATAACCTCTTTTTCTAATTATTGATGTTAAATTATTTTTTTTATTCTTCTAAAACATTCACTTGAAGGAATGTGCAGAAAATTTAATAAATAGAATGCTTATGCTATTAAATTCTTACAGATTGTGAAAAGAATATTAGGCTTATGCAAGCTTTCTAAGGTATAGTTCTCTTCCTTTCACTTTTCCCAGGATTGTGCTGTCTTTGTTACCTCCTATTTAATTGATACTAAATGGATCTGACATCCTTGGGATTGGCAAGGTTGGGCAATTTAAAAACATAGACACTATTGTGTTCTAAGTGTGTTCTGTATTGCGACTCTAGAAGGCAGTGAGCTGCAACTTGTATGACTTTGGAGACTGGTGGGATTTCGTGAGGACTTAAGTTCAGAATTTTATTTTTTGACTGTTTTATAACTTTACCTTAAGTTTAGAAAACTTTGCAGTTTTTCTTTAAAAGCTTTCTTTCTCAAGTGACTGTATATTACTTTGTAGTTAAGATAAGTCACCAACAGTTTTTAAAATACTAGGTCTTCCCTTTAATATTTAAGTATTTGGTTACCATTTTTGTGGTCCCACAGTCTCATAACAAACAAAATATGTGAAAATAGCTAATTTTGTAGAAAAAGGCAAGTACATATCAAGGCATTTTAACCCACTTAAGTGTTCGTGCCAAGCATTGTTCTAGGCACTGGGTGTACAGCAAAGAATAGAACAGACAAAATTCCCTGCTGGTGTGGAGCTTATGTTCTAATCTGGGGACATGATAAACCAGATGAGTAAACACATAGCATCTGAAATGGCAATGGAGCGTACAAAGGAAATCGGTAATAGGGAAGGGTGGTCAGACAAGGCCTCTTTTAAAAAATTAGATTTTAAGAAAAGACTTGAAGGTAAAGTCTTTGTTGAGTATATGGGAGAAAAAGTTAAAAGGTGTTTGTTTTTTGTGTTTTTTGTTTTTTTAAAGACTGTTTGGGTGTATTGTACCAAGATGTGAGCTCAACACCCAGTCCACCCAACTTACAAAGTACCAGCAGTTCTTAGCCTTCCTCATTTCATCATCTAAGAGTCTCTGCTGTGATCCATCATCTAGAATTTCTATCTAGTTTTAGTTTCTTCAAAATGGAGTGATCATTTAGTGGGTATTTTTGAAGAAATCTGAGTGGAATATTTTAAGATATTTTTTATAAGCTGATCTCTTCCTTTTAAAAATCTGACACTAAATCAGATTAGATAAAAATACAATGATTTAGAATAAGCTGTGAGTATCAAAAATAAAGATACTATTTTACCTTTAAGAATCTTTATATGCTTTTTGTCAAATTAATTTGTTTAACAAGAAGAAAATATCTAATGTAACAAATAGTAGTCATCCATATTCAAATATTCATAGAGCATCTACTATGAGGAATAGGATTTAGTATCCTGTGCAAGGTTTGTTAGGATGTTAACTACAGGCAAAAACATGTTGATCAATATACTTCAAATATGAATGCAATAGAATTATTTTATTTGTGTGTTAATATGGTAAAAAGACTAAAATCTGAGATGAGAGCTAGTATCCTAAATTTTTCTTTTGAATGACACAGATATGACTCAAGATTTTATCTTAAAAAGCTGCAGGGCCAAAGTTTGCATTTCTCGATGACATCACTAACCCTTTGTTCACATGTTAACAACTGTCCTTTGGCCAGTGTTTTAAAATCAACATCTTAAGCAATATATATAAATCTTTGAGACAGGGGAGAGTTAACATTTGAAAAACACAGGTGGACCTTACCTTTAAGAAGATAATGTTTTATTTGCTCAATATCGGATATGAAACTAACTACTTTGACACAGTGTCTATGTGGAACAGATAACAAATCCTAGTTAATTGTTGGGGAACATCTTTTTGTCCTTTACACAGGTATCATTAGGTGGTGTTGATCTCACAGTCCGGGTGCTCACAACAGGATATTGGCCCACTCAGTCAGCCACACCAAAGTGCAACATCCCACCAGCACCAAGACATGCTTTTGAGATATTCAGGAGGTAAATGTAGATCAAACTTTGTATTTCTAAGAACAAATAACTGTCCAAAGTTGAAAAAAATTTGAGCATTTGTAGTGTCCCTGATAGAGGATAAATGCTGTACTCCATTTTTTACCTCATGTTCAAAAGGAGAATTATCCTTTATGCTTTTAATATGCATTGCATAAATTCTTTTCAAAGGAATCTTTTATTGATGTCCTTCAGCATTAGTGCATGCTAACTTTGCAACTCTGCCTTACATAAGTTTTATCCTATCTGTATACATATAAAAGGCTATTATGCTAAGTGCCCATCCGGTAATAATGTTACGTAGCAATGCCTGGCTTCCTCTCCTAGCAACTAGCCTTGCAGTTTTTCAGTCCAGGAAAATGACTTGCTTTATAGCCAGGTGGAAACATTTTACACTGTATCCAAATGTCTGTGAAGTGTTTTCCCATGCCTCATTTCATTTGATCCTCACAGAAGTCCTAGTAGGTAGGAGACTCAGTGGAATCCTGTTTTCATTAGCCAGAAAACGGAGATTTAGAAAATTTAGAAATTTGACCTGAAAAGAAGTAAGAAATGGTGGACCTTGAAAATGACTTTAGGTTTTTTCACTGCACAGAATATAGTCAAACACTGCTGCAGTTAAATGTTTTACCTTTTGTTCTCCCAGCATGATCTGCAATAATAATCTGCTTCATGTTGCTATTTACTACTGTGTTGCTGACAGTTACCTGAAAGAAAAGTTAGGGTGCTTCATTGGGCTGGAAAAAGTTTAGCTACATCAGAAAGCTGGTCTAATTAAGCAAGTTTATTCTATATTTGTAAAGGCTAAGTTGATTTGCGCATGCATGATACATACAAAGCTCTTGCTGACACCAATCGCACATATGTGTTTTGATCTGTCATTGTCGATCGTGATTTTGGTTGATATTTCTATTTATAGACAAAGGGTAAATAGCCATATTAAAATATTCTAATTAATTTCCTTTCAATGTGCACAAGTTCGTGCACTGGGCCACTAGTAGTTTATAACTTCAAATATTAAGTTGTATGATTCTCTAAAACCTGGTTTGATTTGCTGAAGGTTTTACTTAGCGAAACACAGTGGTCGGCAGCTCACACTCCAGCATCATATGGGTTCTGCAGATCTCAATGCCACCTTTTATGGACCAGTCAAAAAGGTAAATATTAAGTAACTTAAAATTAGTCTATAGAACTGGTTTGTGATTTTTGTTGACTTGGGCCAATTATTTCTCCTATTTCCTTGTTTCAAATATTAAAAGGTGGGAACTTTGCTTTATTTAACTTTGTTCCCTCAGTTGCTAAATAATTTCATTTGACAATATGAAGATTATATCAGTAGCCTTCCTAGAGTGAATAATTACATATTTTTTGTAAGATAAGACTTGCGACCATATTGCATAAAATAATAAGATGTAAATTGATTTGAGGGCATACAAAGCTATGACTCCCCTTTCCAAAATTTTTGGTCTCCTATAAGCCTTATTAATTTTCAGCAATCAAAACTGGAAATGTTAACACAAGATTTGTGAGATCTACAAAATGTTACTAAACTGATAATTTTAAAGTGAACACTATGCAAGTAAATTGCCTTCATTTTTAAAAAGTAATCGCTTTTTTATATATAAGATTGTGAGGTTTAGTGTACTTTTACTGCTTGGTATAACTCTAGTCAGAGTCATTTTCCTTAAAAATAGAAAAGTAATAAAAGCTTCTGGCAAAACATAAGTTGTCATCCAGCCAGCAAATGACTGCTTTATTCTACATTGTAACTAGAATTTTAGTAGTTTTATATGTTATTAAAATGGCTATGTGTATTCTAATTTTTATATTTAATGGAAAAGGGAAATATTCCTTGTAATTTATTTAATTGAATAATGTTAGAAACTTTCATATACAGGGTGAGGGGACAGTAGGTTTATAGCTATTTCTATGGAAAAATAAAGCAGTAATTAGTAAATAACAATACAAGAATAAACTCTCATATTCACAATTGTATATCTACTTTTGATCCACCCTGTAGGTTTTTATTTTATTTTTTTAATTTAAAAAAATATTTTTTTTTTATTGATTTTTTTACAGAGAGGAAGGGAGAGGGATAGAGAGATAGAAACATCAATGAGAGAAAAACACCGACCAGCTGCCTCTTGCACATCCCCCACCGGGGATGTGCCTGCAACCAATGTACATGCCCTTGACCGGAATCAAACCTGGGACTCCTCAGTCCGCAGGCCGATGCTCTATCCACTGAACCAAACCGGTTCCGGCTACCCTGTAGGTTTTTAAAACAAAATTTATATGTCAATTATTGGAGACTTAAATTTCTACTTTGTACTTAAATTAGTTGTAAGAATGGCAAAGAATTCCCTCGTATCCTAGCTATCATTTGATCTCTTGCTATGACCAGACCGCACAAAAAGAAACCTAACCCTACTACTTTTGGAGTGGTATAATAGAGTGATGTCTGATAAGTCCATTATATTCTATTGTGTATTGTTAAAATAGTTGTAAAATTAAATTATACACACACACAATGACAACCCTAAATGAAGATTTGGTATATTGTACATACATACATAAATGTTTTTAAATAACATTTTCTTTTTAATGTAGTGTTGTAAAGGAGGGGTTTGTCATTAAAGGGTTATTTCTCAAATATACTGTTAAAGTTACCAGGATGTGATAATGTCTTCTTTATGTTTTTTAAAAAATGAAACAGGAAGATGGATCTGAAGTTGGTGTTGGAGGGGCACAAGTCACTGGCTCTAATACACGGAAGCACATACTGCAAGTCTCCACTTTCCAGATGACCATATTAATGCTCTTTAATAATAGAGAAAAATATACATTTGAGGTATGGGTTAGTTATATAAATTTTAACCAGTTATTTTATTTCTAATTTTCATGTGTTACTTGAATCTTTCTTATATGAATAACCTTTAGAGTTATTTGATGATCATTATTATCACTATTTTAGTAAACTGAAAATCATACATTTGTTGGGTCACATTTCATTTGGCTTTTTGAAATCAACTGTATTGAAGTATAAGTTTTATGTAATAAACATACCCCATTTATGTGCACAATTTGATGAGTTTTAACAGGTGTACATACCTGTGTAACTGCCATCACAATCTATAGAATAGTACCCCCAAAATGTTTACATTCCTTTGCAGTCAATTCCTTCCCACTATTCCCATACCCAGGCGGCTAGTGATCTGCTTTCTATCACCATAGACTAGTCTTGCCTCTCTAACATTTCCCATAAATGGAATCATACAAAATGAATTGCTTTTGTGGCACTTCTTTTCATAGCACAGTGTGTTTTTTAGAATAATCTATGTTGTTGCATGTGTAATTTTAGTAGTTTATTCCTTTTTAAGAAACTGCCAAACTATGTCCCAACTTGTACCATTTTACATTCCTGCCATTACTGTAGGAGAGTTCCAATTGCCCTACATACTCTCCCAAATGTAGTATTATCAGTCTTTTTAATATTTGCCATTTTAACTGATGTAAAATTATATTTCATTGTGGATTTAATTTTCCTTTCCTTGATGTTGAGCATCCTTTGTGTGTTCATATGTCACTATGTGTCTTGTTGGTAATGTGTTCATATATTTATAGAATTTTTTAAAGCTCTTTATAAATTCTGTATACAAATCTTTTGTCAGACCTATGTTCTATGAATATTTTCTCAGACTTTCACTTGCTTTTTCAATTTCCAAGTGGTATGGTTTTTCTTTTATATTGTTGTACTATTACAGATGTTCCCCTCTCCCCTACTCCCCACTTTGCCCCACTCTATCCAGAACACAACCCTCCCACCCCCCGGCCTTCAGTATATTATTTTCTGTGTCCATGGACTATGCAGTATGCAGTGAATCAAACTGGTATAGCCTCGTATGCAGACTTGTTGCACCATCCATCCCTCTAGTTGTATAGGGTAGGGACTAAATTGTATCCATGTGCAATTCTCTTGCTTTCCCACTGACATAAGATTATAATGAGTTTAAAAATTATACAGTTGAGACCTGGCCAATCATCGAAAGGACACAGGTTCAATTCCAGTTCAGGGCACTTGCTTGGGATGCAGGCTCAATCCCTAGTAGGGGATGTACAGGAGGCAGCTATTTGTTTCATCAATATTTCTCCCCTCTCTCATCCTCTCTCTTTCACTCTTAAAAAAATAAAACATTTTTTAAAATTATATAGTTGATTTTAAACAAGGTAGAACTTAGGAGTCCAACACCTGTCAACCCCCAGTTGAAAATCCAGCCCTAGTTTGACTTTATAGTAGTTGGCCCTTCACATTCCCAGATTCAAAAATTATAAAACTGTTGTTGAGTATGCAAAAATACTGTTTTCCATCTCAGGTTGTTTGCATCCGTTGATATGAAGCCAGCGGATGGGAAGAGTCGACTGTATTTATTGACAAATGTCCACAGTGTGTACCCATGCAGTTCAAACCCATGTCATTCATGGCAACTATACATTTTTTTTTCATGAACTGCTTTTATTATATTTTATTTATCTCATAACATGTAGCAACAATTATCACCTGCACCTCATAATGGTTTATTGCTTTTCATATTTAGTATTAATTACCAGGAACTAAATTTTTTAAATTTGGTCATATGGACAGTAGATATGGTCAACTTGGAATATAAATTTTGATTGTCTGATAGAAGGCCTTCGTTCAAGTTTACATCACTTCTCTCTACAAAAGAAGTTACTAAGCAAAGGAATCATGTTAATAAACTTGGAAGGAAGATTGTAGAGTATTTCTAAAAGTAGCAATTACATGTTGGTTAACATTTTATTTTTACCTAACTCTTAAAGCAAGTTCCTAATATTCTCTGCTGGATGATATTTTCAAATTGGGCATTATATCCTAAAGTTTTAAAAAGTATATGTATTTTCTGTATTTTGTAATTTGAATCAATCTTTTCTCTGTTTTTTTGTTGTTTTTTCCAAATTGGTGAGATTTTGGTAAAGTACCATAATGGGGGTTTCTTGGTTGTAAAATATTACCTTAGTGATATTACCTCTCTCATCACTGCTTGATCAGTTTTACTTACTAGTTAATCTGCCTTAACCTGTCAAAAAGTCTATTTATACTTATGTCGATCTGATAAAATTTCAGGAAATTCAGCAAGAAACGGATATCCCTGAAAGGGAACTTGTTAGAGCCCTGCAGTCCCTCGCCTGTGGTAAACCAACACAACGGGTTCTCACAAAAGAACCCAAGTCAAAGGAAATAGAAAATGGTCACATATTCACAGTTAATGATCAGTTCACATCCAAACTACACAGAGTCAAGATTCAAACAGGTATTATATTGTTCCTCTTAAAACAAATTGTATTGTTTTTTTCTCTAAAAATTCTTTATCAGTATGATTTTTAGCTTTTAAAAAAGTAAGTCTTTTCTGGTGATGCATGACACATAGGCTTAATTAAAACCACTTTTATCAACCTACGTTCCTGTCACAATTCAGTTGAATCCAAATATAGTAAGCTTTTAAGAAGTAATTCATAGTGGTGAATTTGATACTTATATAGATTTTTGATGCAGAAATTACAGTTGTTTTATTTATTTATTTTTAATTTAAGTTCTTTAATGTTTAATGTATTACATAAGTCTCCCCCTTCCCCCACCCATTGACCTCTCTCCAGTCGCTCCAACCTTCAGCACATGCCCTCACATCCCCATCTATGTTCATTAGTTATGCTCATATGCATGCATACAAGTCCTTTGGTTGATCTCTTACCCCCTCACCCCCTGCCTTCCCTCATAGATTAGACAGTTTATTCAATGCCTCTATGACTCTGGTTCTCTCCCTATTCATCAGTTTATGTTCATTATATTCCACAAATGAGTGAGATCATGTGATATTTATCTTTCTCTGCCTGGCTTCTTTCGCTTAACATATGCTTTCCAGTTCTATCTATGCTTTTGCAAATGGTAAGAATTCCTTCCTTTTTTTATAGCAGCATAGTATTCCATTGTATAGATGTACCACAGTCTTCTAACCCTCTCATCTGCTAATGAGCACTTAGGCTCTTTCTAAATCTTAGCTATTATAAATTGTGCTGCTATGAACAAAGGGGTGCATATATCCTTTCTGATTGGTATTTTTGTTTTCTTGGGATATATTCCTAGAAGTGGGATTACTGGTCAAATGGAAGTTCCATTTTTATGTATTTTTTTGAGGAAATGTCACGCTGTTTTCCAGAGTGGCTGTACCAGTCTGCATTCCCACCAGCAGTGCAAGAGGGTTCCTTTTACTCTACATCCTCTCCAGCATTTGTTGTTTGTTGATTTGTTGATGATAGCAGTTCTGACAGGTGTGAAATCGTACCTCTTTGTTCTTCTGATTTGCATCTCTTGGATGATTAGTGACTTTGAGCATGTTTTCATATGTCTCTTGGTCTTCATATGTCCTCTTTCAAAAGGTGTCTACTTAGGTCCTTTGCCCATTTTTTTATTGGATTTTTTATCTTCCTTTTGTTAGATTTTAGGGGTTCCCTATAAATTTTGGAGATTAAACCCTTATTGGAGGTAACATTAGCAAATATGTTCTCCCATACAGTGGGCTTTCTTGTTTTGTTGATGATTTCTTTTGCTGTGCAGAGCCTTTTATTTTTATGTAGTCCCATTTGTTTATTTTCTCCTTAGTTTCCATTGCCTTGGGAGCTGTATTGGTAAAAGATATTGCTACGACAAATGTCTGCCATTTTGCTGCTGATGGTTTCTTCTAAAATTTTTATGGTTTCCTGTCTTATATTTAAGTCCTGTATCCATTTTGAGTTTATTTTTGTGTATGGTGTAAGTTGGTGGCATAGTTTCATTTTTTTGCATGTATCAGTCCAATTTTCCCAACACCATTTATTGAAGAGACCCTCTTGTCTCCGTTGTATGCTCTTGCCTCCTTTGTCAAATATTAATTGAACATAATGACTTGGGTTGATCTCTGGGTTCTCTCTTCTGTTCCATTGGTCTATATGTCTGTTCTTGTGCCAGTACCAGGCAGTTTTGAGAACAGTAGCTTTATAATATAGCTTGGTATCTAGTATTGTGATACCTCCAACTTTGTTTTTCTTTCTCAGATTGTTGCAGCTATTCAGGGTCTTTTTTTGTTCCATATGAATTTTTGGAGAGTTTGTTCTAGATCTTTGAAGTATGCCATTGGTACTTTCACAGGGATTACATTGAATCTATAGATTGCTTTGCATAGGATGGGCATTTTAATGATGTTGATTTTTACCAATCCATCAACACAGAATGTTGTTCCATTTGTTTATGTCTTCCTCTCTCTTGTTTCAGTGTTTTGTAATTTTCTGAGTACAGGTCTTTTACCTTCTTGATTAAATTTATTCCTATGTATCTTAATTTTTGTGTTGCACTGGTAAATGGGAATTTTTTATTTTTATTTATTTTATTTTATTTTATTTATTTATTTATTTTAATTTCTCTTTATCTGAGTTCTGTGTATAAAAAAGCCATAGATTTATGGGTGTTAATTTTATATCCTGCTACATTGCTGGAATTCATTTATTAAGTCTAGTACTTTTATGATGGAGTCTTTAGGGTTTTCTAATTACAATATCATGTCATCTGCGAATAATGACAATTTTACTTCTTTTCCAATTTGGATGCCTTTTATTTCTTCTTCTTGTCTCATCGCTATGGCTAGCATTTCCAGTACTATGTCAAACAAGGGTGGTGAAAGTGGGCATCCCTGTCTCGTTCCTGTTCTTAGGGGAATTGTTTTTATCTTTTGCCTGTTGAAGATAATGTTTGCTGAAGGTTTGTCATATAAAGCTTTTATTATGTTGAAGTATGATCCCTCTATTCCCAGTTTGCTGAGAGTTTTTATCAGGAAAGGGTGTTGGATTTTGTCAAATGCCTTTTCTGCATCAGTTGATATGATTATGTGACTTTCGTCTTTCAATTTCTTTATGTGATATATCACATTTATTGATTTTCGGATATTGTACTAGCCTTGCATCCCTGGTATAAAACTCACTTGGTGATGGTGTATGATCTTCCTAATGTAATGCTGGGTCCTATTTGCTAGGATTTTGTTGAGGATTTTAACACATATATTGGGTCACAGACCAAAGTCTCTCCAAATTCAAGATTATAATATCAAGCATCTTCTCAGATCACAAAGGCTTAATTTTAGAAATCAACTACAATAAAAACAACCCCCAAAATTAAAACACTTGGAGGCTGGGTAGCATGCTATTAAACAATGATTGGGTTGCCAAAGAGATCAAAGAAAAAATTTATAGCATACTGGAAACATGACAATGATAATACAACAATCTAAAACCTATGGGACACAGTGAAAGCAGTCCTGAAAGCAAAGTTCATAGTATTAGAGGCCTACTTAGAAAATAAGAAAAAATGGTAACAAATTATCTAACTCTACAACTCAAAGAATTAGAAAGAGGACAACAAGAAAAGCCCAGAGTGAGCAGAAGGAAGGAGATAATAAAGATCAGAGCATAAATAAATGACCTAGAGACAAGAAAAACAAAACAAAAAACAATAGCAAAGATCAATGAAACCAAGAGCTGGTTCTTTGAAAGAATGATAAACAAGATTGATGAACCTCTAGCCAGGCTCACCAAGAAGCAAAAAGAGAGGACCCAAATAAAATCAGAAATGAGAGGTGAAATAACAGACCCTACAGAAATGCAAAGGATTGTAAAAAAATTACTATGAACAACTCTATTCCAACAAACTTAACAACCTAGAGGAAATGGACATATTCCTAGAAAAATACAACCTTCCAAAACTCAATCAAGAAGAATAAAAAAAATCTCAACAGGCCAATAACCAAGGAGGAAATTGAAGCAGTCATCAAAAAACATCCAGCAAACAAAAGCCAGATGGCTTCACAGGGGACTATTACCAAACATTTAGAGAACTAAAACCTGTTCTTCTCAGACTATTCCAAAAAATTCAAGAGGAAGGCACCTTTCCTAGCTCTTTCTATGAAGCCAATATTACCCAAATCCCAAAACCAGATAAAGACACTACAATGATAAAGAATTATAGGCCAATATCCCTGAGGAATTACAGTTTTTTATGAACATATTACTACTTATAAAGTTATTCTTTTTAAGTGGGTAAATAATACTCAGTGGATGTCTGTTTTTAAAACTGACTTAACAGATTTCTAAAATTTGATGAAGCTGTTTATATTTTGATGAATATTTTTAATTTTGAAAACCTTAAAATTCATATTCTAACTTAAAAACATAGAAGTGACTCTTGTGAGCATTTTTTTAGTACAGCTTTATTTCGAAGAACATTCTATTGTATATTTAACATTATGTAAAATGTGTGTTTCAGTGCATTAAAAGGAAAAAAAGACCCTCTACCTTTGTTGACATTTAAACTCTAATGTAGTTTTCTACTTGGTCTTAAAACTAGTATCAGGAAGTGTCCCAGTATTAATTTATTTATTACAATTATATCTTGTGGTAAAACTATTTTCAAAATAAGAGAAAATTTTAAATAATTCTTTTACTTTAAAAAATTGTGTTTACATTATATGTTAATAAAAGGTAATCTTTTTAAAATTATTTTAATGCTATATATACAATGGATTGCCAAAATACATTGATTTAAGAACTTTATATGCATACTTTTGTTTTCCTTTTTGACCCTGATAAGGATCCCTATGCTTGACAAAGCAGTGTGATGTGTTTTTGTCAGTTTTGACTACTTTGTTCCATAGTTGAAAACCATATCGTTGTACCTTCTTTACCAAAATTGATCCCATATCTTTGGGATACAGTTATAGATTAAAAATAAAACAACTCTGCCAGTGAGTCTTGTAATAAAATGTCTTTTTTCTCCAAAGTGCAAGAAATGTGAATTTATAATTTTGGCCAGATATGGATTTCAGGTTTCAGGACTTGTATCCTAGATTTGGAGGAAAATGTATGGTGATACATAATAGATCTGAATTACTTAGTTTCACACTGCTTTACTTTAAATAAATAACTATCTTTGCAATAACAGGTTTCATCATCACCAATTATGTTGTCAGATATTATTGTTATTTTTAAAAGTCTTCTCCATGAATTTTTAATTTTTGGTGCTGTTTGTGTGTGTAGTGTTTTAGATCTGATTAAAATGGGAATGTAGTTATTTATATATTAGAGGCCTGGTACACGAAATCAGTCCAGCTTGCACCCTCTCCAGTTTGGGACCCCTACCTGGATCAGGCCTAAACAGGCAGTCGGACCTCCCTGTCATAATCCAGGACTGCTGGCTCTCAACTGCTTGCTTGCTTGCTTGCTTTCTTGATTGCCCCTAACCACTTTGCCTGCCAGCCTGAACACCCCGTAACCACTCCCCTGACAGCCTAATTGATGCCTAACTGCTCCCCTGCCAGCCTGATTGCCCCTAACTGCCCTCCCCTGCAGGCCTAGTCACGCCTAATTGCCCCCCCACCAAGGCCTGGTCACCTCTAACTCCCCTCCCCTATAGGCCTGGTTCCCTCGTCCCTAAACTGCTCTTCCCTGCAGGCCCCGTTGCCCCCAAATTTTCTCCCTTGCCAGCCTGATGGCCCACGATTGCCCTCCCTTGCAGACCTGGTCCCTCCCAACTTCTCTCCCCTGCTGGCCATCTTGTGGTGGCCATCTTTTGTCCACATGGGGGCAGCCTTCTTTGACCACATGGGGGCAGCCATCTTGTGTGTTGGAGTGATAGTCAATCTGCATATTACTCTTTTTATTAATAGGATAGAAGCCTGGTGCATGGGTGGAGGCCAGCTGGTTTGCCCTGTAGGGTGTCTCGGATCAGGGTGGGGGTTCTCTTGGGGCATGGGGCGGCCTGGGCAAGGGACCTGTGGTGGTTTGCAGGCAGGCCCAAGCGGGAAGCCCTGGTATCTGGGATTTATTTATCTTGTATAATTGAAACTTCGTGACCTTGAGCGGAGTCAAGACTCCTGCTCACTCTGTGGCTGCAGCCATTTTTGTTGGGATTTATTTATCTTCTATAATTGAAACTTTGTAGCCTTGTGTGTAGGCCTGGGCCAGCCAGGATGGCAGGGAAGCTTGGTTTCCTCCATTGCCAGGGAAACCCAAACTTCCTGCTTGCTGCAGCTCCATGGTTGTAGCCATCTTGGTTGGGTTAATTTGCATACCTCTTTCTTATTGGCTAGTGGGCGAGGTTTGTGGGTATAGCAGAGGTATGGTCAATTTGTATATTACCTTTTTTTTCTTTTTTAGATAGGACTAGAGGTTGAGTGCACAAATTCATGCACTGGTGGAGTCCCTCTGCCTGGCCATGATTGGGGCAATTGGAGCCAGCCAGCCGTGGGAGGGACTGAAGGAGGTTGGCTATGGGAGTGCACTGACCACCAGGGGACAGCTCCTGCATTGAGCGTCTGCCCCCTGTGGTCAGTGCGTCATCATAGTAATCAATCAAAATGTCACTTAGGCTTTTATATACGTATATAGATGATGAAAAATTTGACTAGATGATTTACTGGTATTTTGTTTGTGTAAATAAAAATTTTCTCTCTGGCTATAAGTACTGTGACCATGTAGGTTTTCTTAAATTATCAAAATACCCATTTGCCCTTTGGAGAAATTACTTAAAATAAAAATCAAATACTCAGACACTGTAATCATACCTATTTATGCTGCTTTTTACTAAAATAAGTAATAGAAGTTCCAGCAAAGGAGTTAAAAGTATTATGTAATGCAACCTTTGAAAAGAACTAGGTTCTTTATAATTTACAGCAGTTTCTGTAGTTGAGAGTCTTTCCATCACCACTGCTCACCTTCTTCCTCTGTTTCCCTTCCATACAGCTGCATACATAGGTACCCACTTACACAAGCAAACACCTTTGTTGTACTCTTAAGTACAGAGTACTGTGCTAGACTCTAGGAGTGAGTGCCTGCCCTTGTGTTTTCTAAAATATCATAATAGAGTATGTTTTACCACAATCCTCACATTTATTTTGGAGTACACCTATAAAGGTGACCTAATTCAGATGAACCAAATGGATTATTTAAAATATCATTTCTTGCCAAAACCGGTTTGGCTCAGTGGTAGAGCGTCGGCCTGTGGACTGAAAGGTCCCGGGTTCGATTCCGGGCAAGGGCATGTACCTTGGTTGCGGGCACATCCCCAGTAGGGGGTGTGCAAGAGGCAGCTGATCGATGATTCTCTTTCATTGATGTTTCTAGCTCTCTATCCCTCTCTCTTCCTCTCTGTGAAAAATCAATAAAATATGTTTAAAAAAATAATAATAATAAAAATAAATAAATAAATAAATAAATAAATAAAAACAAGCCATTAAAAAAATAAATAAATAAAAAATAAATAAAATATCATTTCTTTTTTTCCTCCAACTTCTTATCTATACTAATAAAAGGGTAATAATACAAATTAGTCCCGCCACCCTCACAATAACAACCAAACAGCAGGCTTGTGGGGTGATAAGGCTGGCAGGAGGGTTAGCAAGAGACAATCAAACGACTGACCAGCAGGCTGCGTGTGTCAACCAGGCAGACGGGAGGGTTAGCAAGGGACAACAACCAAATGACTGACCAGCAGGCTGCATGGGGCAACCAGTCTGGCAAGGTGGTCAGTGAGGGGCGATTAGGCCAGCAGAGGGCGGCAGTGAGGGGCAACGGAGGGGGGGGCAGTCCCGGGAACCAGGTATTTTGTGTAAGTTAATAGGATATATTATAATAAATAAACACTGGTTACAGTTGGGTGCAACCAGGCTGGCAGGGGGGATGGGTAGTTAGGGGCAAACAGGCTTGGGGGGAGGGGGCGCAGTTGGGAGCGACCAGGCCAATGGAGGGGACAGTTAGGGAGATCATGCTGGCAGACAGGTGAGCAGTTAGGAGCCAGCAGTCCTGGATTGTGAGAGCGATGTCCAACTGCCCGTTTCAGCCCGATCCCAGGGGTTGGGCTAAAACTGTCAGTCTGACATTCCCCGAGGGGTCCCAGATTGGAGAGGGTTCAGGCTGGGCTGATGGACACCCTCCCCACCCCCTACACAAATTTCATGTACCAGGCCTCTAGTTTTAAATATTTCCAAATCTACAGAAAAGGTGAAAAGCACAATCATGGATATGGGTATGGCCATCACATATATTTACAAGTCAGTAAAAATTTGCTCAGGTGCCCTTCTCTTGTCCCTCCATATAGATATGTATTTGCTAGTTTTTAAATGAATTTGCAAACATCATAACACTTCCCTCTAAATAGTTCAGCATACATATACATCCTTAAAATAAGATAGTTTCCCCCATAGTTGTAACCCTATATCATACCCAACAAAATTATATCTCAATTGAATTTAATTCTATTGAAAGCAATCGCTATCTTTTTCAAGTGACATTGACTTTTTTGAGGAAAAGCATTATTCTTTTCTTAATAGATCATTTTAATCTAATTTTACTCTTTTCATTAAGACTGATGATCTTTAACTTTGGAAGACACTGAAAGCAGAATTCTCAGCCAAGGGATTCTGGTTAGAAATAGCTAGAAACTTATAAATGTGTGTGATGGCCATACCAGAATTATCTGAATTGTCTGCTGTCTCATGGGAGTGCCCCTGCCTAAGTCAGCAGTATCCCTTATGGTTCTTTGTAATTTTCCAATTTCTACCACTACAAACTTCACATCTATCTCCTATTGAGCACCAATAACCCAAAATTTAGTTATCATATTTCTTTCTCTGCTACTTCAAAGAGAGTAAAGCTGTAGGAGAAAGGAACTTCTATATTTAATCCCTTAGCAATTGCCTTGAAGTCTGTAGAGAATAACAGAATAAGATTTCTCCTAAAATTGGGATATAGTATGCCTAGTGACAATGAGATTGTGAAATAAAAAATTTAATAAGATACATGACAAATTGTTAGATAATTGGTGAGAAGTGTAAATGAATTATTAAGGAGTTTCTTTAGTTGGCATTCTTTCATCCTCTTTTAGCATTAGATATTACAACCATAGCTTGAGTTGGTAAGCCATCAGGTATTCTCTTCCGAGATACTTTTAGTGAGGATTAGCTTGGAGTTGAAGTGGTACTAATTGGCCTGTGGAAGTCACAAACAAATGATTGATAAGTTAACTGCTAAAGATAACCACCTATCATTTTTCTTTCAGGAAAGGAGTCACATTCTATAAAAATAAAATTGGTTTTCTTATCTCTATAAAAGAAAATTCCTAATATTTAAAATAATTAAGGATTATAGGATTTTTATATCACTACTTGTTATTTAAGTATTTATTAACCACTGAATTGGGCACTTTTGGGATGTTTACTAGAAATGAGTATATGTGTATAGTCAGGTTGAAATTTCAGTCAAATCTTGATTCTCCAATTTCTCCCATCTGGAACAATTCGGTTCTGGACCAAGTTCTCAGAAAAAATGCCTTGATTGTCAACCAACACTTCACTTTTCAACCTGACATCCCTTTTATGCTGATACCTCAGCATGACTAAAAGGGGCTTTCAGGCAACAAACAAAAGAAAAAATGCTTTTGTTGCTGGCAAAATCCACATTGATGATAACCACAATTTTAAAATGTAAATAGGCCATCAAGAGTGTTAATGTTGCTAAGGATGTGAAAGTGCTCAAAAAACAACAATCACAGGCAGTTGAATAGGTAGCAAAACTGTTGATTGGACCAAAAGCATTTCGCTGATGATAGAAATTTCGAGGCAGTGATATATGAAAAAATTTGTTTAAGGCTAGTGGGAGTGGTTCAATAAATTTAAGAAAAGAAGTGTTTATTTTTAATTTAAACAGTACCTTAGACATGTGCTGTATGAAAGGTTAAAATGGACTCATCTAGGGGTCTGGAATGAATTCCATTTACATTATTTCTAATGGGAAAAAATGATTTGGTTTTCTAATAAATCACTTCTTGAACAGCCTTCTTGGAATGAATTAAGTTCTAGAAACAAGGTTTTGCTGTAGTTTTTCTCAGGGGATATTACTAATTTATATTATTTGTTTATAAGCCACATTTTTTCATTACATTTGAAATTACCTGGTAATCACATAAATGTCTTTATTTCTCTTTTAGTTGCTGCCAAACAAGGTGAATCTGACCCAGAACGGAAAGAAACAAGGCAGAAAGTAGATGACGACAGGAAACATGAGATAGAAGCTGCTATAGTGCGGATAATGAAGTCTAGAAAGAAGATGCAGCACAATGTGTTAGTAGCAGAGGTGAGGACACTAGCGCTGAATTAGTGGAAAGAGCAAAACAACACGAACAGTTGAAATTTAGGAAAGTACTATATTCAACTGATTTAAAATAGAAGTTTTTAAGTTGGAAAACTATAATTAAGTAATACTATTAAAACCACGACACAGCCGAAACCGGTTTGGCTCAATGGATAGAGCGTCTGCTTGGGGACTGAAGGGTCCCGGGTTCGATTCCGGTCAAGGGCATGTACCTTGGTTGGGGGCATATCCCCAGTAGGGGGTGTGCAAGAGGCAGCTGATCGATGACTCTCTCATCGATGTTTCTAGCTCTCTATCTCTCTCCCTTTCTGTACAAAATCAATAAAATATATTTTTTTTAAAACCATGACACACTTGATATTTAAACACACCCATACATTGAAATATGTGCACACTTCAAGAACTGATATATGTTACAAAAATCATAGAATGTTGTCACATGAAAACAAAAAAATTTCACTGCTATTCAATACTTTTGTATAAAACAAACTACCTTTGTTTCTAAAATTAATCAGTTACTGTTTATTGAGTGTTCACATGTTACAAATTTCAAAAATGGAAAAATCAAATCAAACACTTAAGGCACATTGGCACTTAGGTGACTGGTTAGTTTTCCCAGGCATTTTCATTGGACTGCTAAGAGTGGGTATTTGGTGGCAGTGCCTTGAGAAATAAAATGAAGGTGCAACCATCAGAGGTCTTGGCTTGATCTTTGAGGTATTGGCTCATGGAAAAGGGCAGCGAACAATGTTAAAAGTTGAGTATTGAGGGTTACTGGGTTTCGTTTTTCTAGATGGGAAGATATTGAGCATGTTTAAGGATAAAAATTTTAAAAAGGAATGCTTAAAAACAAAAGGAAAAAAATTAAACGAGGGGATAATTGAGGTACCAGAGTCAAAGGAAAGAGGAGAGGATTGTGCAGATTGTGGTGGTTGTGTTAAGAGGAATGTTACTCAATATTCCTCTTCCTCAGCCTATAGGGTGCAGGGGTGTGTCAGTAAAGAATGGACTTAAGTATGGCTAAACGTATATGTGTAAGGTGGAAGTTTGAGGAATTTTCAAACTGAAATGGTCTTTTTTCCCCTACATAAAACAGGATGTAAGGTTATTGTCCTTAGAAACTTAAATACTATATATTTGTGTTATCAGTCTGTTTCAGAGATTGGCAGACTGTGTGTGTGTGTGTGTCTGTGTGTGTGTGTGTGTGTGTGTGTGTGTGTGTGTGTTTAATCAGTTTTAACATGAAAGTGTGTGTGTGTGTGTGTGTGTGTGTGTGTGTGTGTGTGTGTGTGTTTAATCAGTTTTAACATGAAAGTGGCCATAGATAACAAGTGAGTATGTTCTAGTAAGAATTAACAAAATAGGCAGTTGGCTGTATTAGGCCTGCAGGCTGCAGTTTGCTGCCTCCTGGTCTATACAAAATATTATAAACTACAATTGTACTCAGCAGGGAGCTAAGTAGTAGGTTTTGAATGATGTATAATAGTATGTGTTAAAAGGATGTTTATAGACTAGAACCAAAGGAATCAAAGTTGAGGATACAATTGGGTGTTGAAATGATCTTATGTACAGTCTAAACCTCTATCAAGGATGAGGTAAGTTCAAAAAAAGTTATTAAAGTAAGTTGTCTAATTGCTTAAAAGAAAGGATCAGAGGATTAAAGATCCCAGGTGGATTGAGAACAAGTTTGTTGATACTGGAATGAAAATTCTAGAAAGATGATAGATTTTAGGTGGAGAGTGAGATACTGAAGTTTCAGACTTTTTTTTTTTTAATATGTTTTATTGATTTTTTACAGAGAGGAAGAGAGAGGGATAGAGAGTTAGAAACATTGATGAGGGATATCATCGATCAGCTGCCTCCTGCACACTCCCCACTGGGGATGTACCCACAACCAAGGTACATGCCCTTGACCGGAATCAAACCTGGGATCCTTCAGTCCACAGGCTGACGCTCTATCCACTGAGCCAAACCGGTTTCAGCTGAAGTTTCAAACTTTAAAGGATTATCAATTCACTGGCCTTGAGAAAGGCCAGGAGTAAACAAACAAACAAACAAAAAATAACTTATGGGTGAATGCTCTGCAAGGGAGGCCGATGGATTCCTGGGGAAAGCATGGACTCGGGGCAGAGCAGTGTGAGTTCTCTAACTACTGGCTTAGTTTACTACTTGTTGATCTCAATTTTCCTCTGTGGCTTATTTTCTTCACTTGAAAAAATTAGACAACCTACTTTATAGGGCTAAGAGCATTACATTAGAATATATACAAAATGCCTGATACATAGTGCACAGTCAAGACTTTGGCTGCTTCTATAGTTAACTGTTTTATTATGACCGCACAATTCTTTGGTTGGAAAAAAATAATGGCAACAGCAACACTTGACACTAAAGCATCACGTCTGTTAACTCATTTCATATACACAGCAACTTCATGAGCATTAGCTTTCCCAGTGTCCTAGAGCTAGTAAGTCAGCTGAGATTTGAGTCCAGGCCGTTTGGGTTTAGAGTTTGTGCTCTTACACACATGCTACCCAAATTCTGTGAGTTGGGAGGATATCCCAGAAGTAAAAATGGTTAAGTAGTAGGTGGTATACATCATACTAATATATTCCATTAATTTTAACCTAATGTAGTATTCACATTCTGATGTGAGGAGGTAATCAGATTATACTAAAGTTTGATCTGAGTCTTAAAAATGACACATCAGTTCTATTCAAAGATAAGAATTTTTGCATTAATATGGAAATGTTATGTATTTTAAATTTTCTGGTGAGAAATCGTTGTTTTATCTTCCGTTTTAGGTAACTCAGCAATTGAAGGCTCGATTCTTACCAAGTCCAGTTGTTATTAAGAAGCGTATTGAAGGACTTATTGAGAGAGAATACTTGGCACGAACACCTGAGGATCGCAAAGTGTACACATATGTAGCATAAAATGCGTCCAGAAATTTGATTTACTCTTGGACTGTATTCTTCGCATGGACTGGGAAGTTCTTTTAAATCATTAAATATTAAGACGACCATCTCTTCTATTAAATTACAGTACATGTTCTAGACCATTCAGATCAAGCCTTTACTCCTTTGAGAGTTTTCAACATCAATTGATTGAGCTTCAGGCTTTACAACGTTTATCCCTGTAGAGATCATCTTTACAGTTCCTCGGGAAAATGTGAATGTGCCGCGTTTTGTTTTCAATACTGTATGAAAACAGGAAAAAATAAAACGAAATTTAGAAAATACAAGCTCGTTAAAATAAAATTGTTGGATTTCATTTCCCCAGGTCTTTCAGTGTTGATGTAAATGTGTTTTTGTAGTGTTGCTTAGCACTTTGCGCATTGTATAAGTTGGGTAACAAAAATGGTAAAGGAAGTGACACGATTCCCAATTATCTTGCTATGCTTAAGGCATTTCTTTAGCTAGTCCTGTTTAATTTAAAGGTTTGATAAATATATAACGACCCGAGCATACAATTTGAGCATGCTTTATTCTACTACCACTTGCACTTATAATCTTATAGCCTTATGACCAGGAACCTTTGTTTTGGGCTCAATACACACCCTGATTTGGTTTTTCCCTATAGTAATTTGAGATTTCCCAAATTAAGACTTACAATGATTAGGTTTTGTTCTGCATTATCTCTAAAGGGAGAAAATATTTTAGTATGTATAAATTGTACAATAATTTTTTGCTGTTGTACTCACTGCTGATAGTGGATTGTATAGGGCAGTGTTTTTATTTCATTTATTGTTGACAAAAATAAATGAATTTAGAATACACATACCCACTAATTCAAGTATGTTAGAGCACAACATTGGCAGCTGGTTATATTTAATTCAGCCCCTTTGAAAAGCACATATAGTCTACACTTTGTTTATAAAATATTGTAGGTTCCCTCTCTTAAATATATATATTTTGGTGAAGCTGAGGTGCATGTTAATTTTCTGTTTCGAAATGCATTCTAAAGATGCAATAAATATGATTACCTTGATCTTTTTAACAGGATCTTCGGTTCTTGCAGCTAACTGTGTTTTGGAAAGTGATTAAGCAATATTTTTCAAACCTGATGATTCTTGGATATTTAGCTATTGTCCTCCAAAGAGTCATCGTTTCATGTTTTTAAAGATGTGCTTTGTGCTGAAGATTCATGTCAGTTATCCTGTGCTTCCAACTTCCACCAATGTTTTTTACCTGATTGATCTGCCAAGGATTATAGTTTGCTTTATTTTTAATAACGTCAGAGTATTTTTATCTTTCATTTAATTTTGTCTTGTTTTGTTTTAATAAGACATTGTTTCAGATATGTAATTGGGGCAAACCACTATAGATTCTATTGGATAGAAAAAAGAAATGTTATTAAGTTAAAATAACTGACCCTTGGTTGACTACCAGTACTGTTGATACATTTATTAGAATGTATGTCTCAGAAGATGGTTTCTGTTTAAATTGATGGTCAAGTTACAATTGAATTCTAATATGGATTAAAAATTCCACATAAATCTTTTTCCCCATGCGTCTTGGGTTATAATTTTCCTTGTAGACTTGCAGATATGCTCTTACTGCATTTAATTTGCCTTCATTTTCACTGTAGAATTATAAACCTGATGCTCTTAATCTCTACATTTTCCACTTTACCGTGATGCAATTAAGATACAAATGAAAGCTATCATGAATATTATTCTCAGGATACTTTAACTGTACTTGAGCAATAGTAGGTCAGGTGTAACAGAAAGCTGAAGGATTTCGCTTCTGATTCTTTACATAATTGGAATTTCTGTAACAAATCAACAGGAAGATACTAGTATATAAGGTTTCAGAATATTATTGCTCTCAATTCCCAATTAAGTGATATGTAACACCTTGGGGATTATTAGAATAACTCATTGCCTGGTTAATATGAAGCATGTAAAAACGTCATTTGAAATAGAAATGAGACATTAAAAGAAAAAGTTAAGCACTAGTTTAAAGTATTATAAGTTGTAAAGTTAAATTTATGTTGTTATCTCAAGTGTGGACATACCAGTCAAATCTAGAATTTAGAGACATGTCCGTTGGGAGGCACAGGTTTGATATTTACACTTCTAAATGTTTTATATCACAACACATTTCTGAATTGCAATTGAGTTGAATGGTGGAGAATGCAACCATTTGTACTCCGTTGCATTTCAATCAGTTGCAGTTTAGTTGAATAATTGGAAAATGATGCTGCATTGAAAAGCAAAATTGGATCACCTAACATGCTTGTGTGTTTTAGGTCATGAATATTATGTAAGCCCATAATAATGCATTTTGATGTTGCTTTCTTTTCAGCAAGAAGTCATTCATGTTCTTTTTCTCAGTTTTTTAATGTCTTAATTTCAGAGACTAATGCATTCTAACCATTTATTTAATCCTGTTGATGTGAATAAGTTTTGGTGACTTTATACTTGAAGAATTTTAAAGAAGGCGGTTATGTAGTTTTCCAACTGCAAAATGATGTAATCTTTGTTCACTTGTTTAATTGTACTTCTCTGATACCCTCAAATCCAGGACAGTGTTTACTTTGAATTGTTATATAGTTATATTATTTAAAGATTGAAAATTCTTTGCAGTTAGGAAACAGCCTCACAAATAAAATGTGGTTGTCATTGTAAGGATTCTTTATGTCAGTGAATTTGAAAAGGGCATGGGGAAGGATGCATTAGAATCACCTGTGCAACCTTGTAAACAGATGTTCCATTCCCAAACCCCCAAGATGCTGATATGTCCTCTCAGTGCAAACTCTTCTTATGGGAAAGCACTGTTGATCTGTTCCTTCAGTAACTTAAAACTGTCAAATTTTAATACTCAGAAAGTACAATCCAAATAATACCTAAAATTGTGTGTAAGAATTCTTGCAATGTGGGGATAATTATAATGGCTAACTCTCAAAATTCTTTCTGCAGTTGCAATACTTAAATTCCTCAGCACAATGTCTGGCATGTGGTGGGTGTAGGCGCTCAGTAAATCTCAGATGAATGTGCCTAATGATCACTAAATGTCTTGAAAGTCCTAAAAGAATCAAACTTGGTAAGATTTGTACTGCATTTTTGGGAGTATGACTAACATTTGTATAAGGATTATATTTTTATAAATGGAAATCATTTCATGTTTGGTTTTCAACTAGCTAAAAAGAAAATGTAAAGCAACGGCTGGCTCCTTACAGATGATATTAAATGCTGGTTTTAAAACTGTTTTGAGTCCCAACATCCTATGAAAGAAAATATTTCAGACTTAGTGATAGAAAAACTCATTCAAGATCCCTCTCATAGTTATTGGGGTGCAGGAATTTGGGCCCAGTTCTGTCTGATTTTGAAAACTGCTTTTAATGAGTGTTAATGTGTCCCCAGTTTTGGCAGATTCTGATCAGAGCTATCATTTGAATTTGGATCTGAAAGTAAATTTTCTTGGTGAGTATTTTGGTGAAAGCTTGTTTTGATCAATTAGAAAATATTCCCTAGAGGATTTGATATTGTGGAACTTCTATAGATCCTGAACAAAAGAAATTTTTTGTGATATTACCTGTGCATATTGGTGTAAATAGTATATAGGAATTTCATTTATGAAACTGATGTTAGGTATCATATCTGTAGAATGAATTTTAACACTTATTTTCTATTCGATGCTATATTAGAAGGTGTCCACTAGACTGTTTTTTGGGTGTTTTGTTTTTGTTTTTTTAATGGAATAGAATTGTAGGTCGGAAGAGACCAAAAAAAGGAACCTGACATCAGGTGGGGGAGGACAAAATCTGTGTTGCCTTTGCAATAGGCAACCAGTATGTGTAAATATAAAGTAGGGAGATTCTGCCCAAAACCTATGCAACATCTACATCTGAATGAAGGAGGAGGAAAGAAGGGAGTGCCCTTTCCATAGTTTGCCTGCAAAGCAATTTTGCAGTACTAAGGAAAGCATTCTTAACTTTTTTTTTTTTACCAAAATTAGTATTATCCAAATTTCCAATAAGGCATTCATAGTCACCAAACTGACTTGAACTGATTAAAAGTAATGCAATCCATTCTCAAAGAAGCAGAGGTTACTCATGAAGGTACTATAAGAATGTGCTACAGGTTAAACTATTCCAAAAAAGGAGTGGTAAGTGCTTTGGTATTTTAAAACCATAATCTCCTAGAAGGCTTCAAGACAAACCTGATGCCTCTTGTAGTTTTGATATTGTAGGTCTGAGGCAGTCTGTGCAGCTGAATTTGGGGACCATTGCTTTAGATTATGTTGTTATAAAGAACATAAACTCCCAATTTTACTAATTAGATGAGAACATCTTACATGATGGAAGTTGTGAGATCTTTAACATCCTACATGCACTTACTTTGCCTCAGAGAGATTTAATTAAAAGTGGGACATTAACTTCATGCTGCTCATGGTCACAGATCACAGTGAAAATCAAAACCAACCAGTTGTCCGTGATCCTAATTGGGGGAGAATCCATAATAGTGTCGTGTCCTCAGAGTCAAAAGGCAGCCTGTGGTCTATGTTTTCATTAGACACTTCCACTGGGAGAAATAGAATTTAGAAACCAACTGTTCACGGCCCAGCGACCTGTGTCTGGTCTGAATGAGTTTAGCTCACAAAAGTGATTCTAAGGAAAAAGTGTCTGAACAGTGTGGGACTTATTTCCCTCTTTAGAACCTTTGTGAAGCAGTTAGTGAGATGTGGGTGACAAAAGTTGGTCTGTGCTGCCAACTCTGTCAGATAATAAACGGAAGTAATTGTAGTGTGGGCCATTAGTGTAACCCAATAGGAGTGAGTGTTTCCAGTGGAGTTCAGTCTTCGGTGTCATGATCATCCATCCGCTTAATCTGACAAGAAGTGATTTGCTTAAGACCAAGATAGAACTCCCTAATACCGAAACCTGACTTAGTAATGGGCTTTCATAGAAACGCCCATATTCTCTTCTACCA